CCCGCATTAGACGCTTCGGTTGGATGCACTGTGAGCGGAATGAATAACCATGTAGAGATCCGTTCGTACCGTTCCATTGTCTGCTTCGTGTTACTTAGATATCCCACATGATCTGTGTGACAAGAGCGATTTCCTCATATTGATTGTCTCCAAGTAACTGCTTCGGCACCATTCCTGTTTGTCGAGGATGTACACGATGTACACGTCTACAGCGCATGTCTCCGTCGTTTAACAGCACATCCATCTTTCTCCTTCGAGATTGTATGCAACACCACTGGACACGGCGGTTCATTTGCTCGCAAAGTCACATCGATTTCGATGTCCCCGTGAGTCCTGGCAGATTGTCAGCCGGCTAGCGATTTCGCATACCTTCGATACTACTTACAATCTCACCTTACTTTATGCTGTTCTAAACGTTCTTGATCCGTCGGTTTCCTATGGCATCATCTAGTTTGCATCTGTTCCGTTCCGCACGCGTCTCCGCTGAGAGTGTTTGAGCGCCGTCGTATGTGGTCAGATCGTTGTGAAATGTGATTTTCGTGTAATTTCGCTTTAAGTTGAAATGTCATATGTGCTGGTCGTGCGTCAGAAAAGGAGAGATGGTTGGCAGTCCCCTGCACAAGGTCGGACTGGGTCAATTGACCCACTCTCCGAGGCATATCACGCCCTGTACTTCTGGGCGGCCTTTTTCCCGCTTTCCTCTCCACAACGACTGCTGCCGCTGCTGACGGCGGATCCATGTGAACCATGGGACACGTATCGTAGATGTCCACGCGTAGTCGATCTCCACAGCTGTGCGACTGCCGTTCCTCACAGATCCACTCAGGACACCATGAAGAGGGTTGCCGCTGCCTACAGGATGTTTCATGCCATCCGAAGAGCTTTCTGTCGCTTGACACCGGAACTCTTTAGACTCCTGTTCACCTCGCATGTGCGCCCGATTTTGGAATACGGCCTCCCTGCTGCCTACCCGCTTTCCAAATTTGAGCGCGACATGATCGAAAAGGTCCAACGGCGTGGATCGAAGTTTGTCTCCGAGTTACGTGACCTGCCGTATCCCCTTCGGCTTCGGCATTTGAATATGTTTTCTATGGATTACCGCCGTCGGCGTGGGGACTTGATCTTTACCCGTCGTATCCTCAGGGGGGAACTAGGGAGAGAGTTGCAGGAATTCTTCCACCTCAACATCGGGAGTTCGACTAGAGGCCACCAATGGGAAATATTCAAGCCACGGAGGCTCAAAGTACGGTCCATTCTTGCTCTATCCACTCGCGTTGTGAATAATTGGAACCGGTTACCGCCGACAGTCGTTGATGCAAAGACAGAGGATTGCTTCAAACGACTACAGGATACACACCTGATGAGTATGCCGGCATCGTATTGCTTCAGCTACGAGTGCAACGGCCTCTCCGGAGTTCCCGTTGCGCAATGACGAGCATCCCAGCAATGATCGGGAAGCGATGGAGCTGACAAGGGATTTCCCCTCCTGCTCTCTACTAACCCAATGAACTCACCTGCATCTTCGCTACTAACCCATCCGTCGTTCGCCTCGAGTTGCAGCTCTGATGATGGGGTTTGCTTACAACACCGACCTCCGACTACTGTCCCTTAGAGATTGCTTGATTCATGGAATGGTGTGCGTCACCCGATGGCGTGGTCGTCTCATCACAGACCCAACGAGGCCCTTGGATTACAGTTCCAATGCCTCGCTTTCATATCCTATCCATACCTATTTCCGTTGTTATACTTTTCCCTACTGCTTCCCCCCCCCCCAACCTCCTCCTCCGCTTTTGTTACTTCACATGGTCGGCGAAGCGGTGGGTATTGCCAGTGCAGTCTACGTGAAGGTTACTTGGTTGGCCGTCCATGGAGTGATTTGCGCGTATTGCTTTGGCACTGTTCGTTTGCAAATGCTACTGTGGATAAATCCCCCCCCCACTCCGCCGGTTCAACGACTCACTCAGAAAGGAACATGCACGGGTGATTAGCCCACTGTCCCCGTCCCACTTGAACTTCAGTCTCTCTAGCGTCCAGTTACATTCGCTTTGTCCTATACTGGTGCGTAGCGTTACATGCTTCGGGATGTGCTTTGCACCTTCAAAGGGATAGATATTGTGGCAGGACTGGACCGAGACACCATCGTTTCTATCTATCAGCGAACAGCCACTTGAACTGGTGGGTCGGTCCAGCTACGTTGGAAGTTGTGTCACATCTGGAAGTAACCACGTATCTGTAAGGCTAGTATGCCATTTCAGAAGCTCAACCATCTATGGAGACGACGGGATATCAGTCTGTCAGTGCTAGGCAGATTGAAACACAGCGTACCCATCAAGTACCTCAGGGCATGTCACGGGGCAGGTGAAAGTGGTCTGTGGTTGGTGGTTTCTCGGTTGGTGATCCGGCGGTCCATTTCCGTTCTTCCAGAGCCGGTTCTGGTGACACACGATCCTGAACTCGCCATACGAATCTCCTTCAAGCAGTATTCGGTACTGTGCGTATGCTGTGTAACAAGATGTGCGAAGTTGGCGTTCTTGTGAGTCACTCTCATCCAGATGCTGTTGCTTTCACAGAAACGTGGCTGTCCTCGGGAGTCATGAATAGTGAACTATTTCTATCTGTTTACGCACTACTGAAGTCGGATTGTCCATGCGACCGTCGCGTGGAACTTGTCCTCTGCACCATCTGTAGTTTAAATGTTTCCAAAACGTGTCTACCTTCCGCTCAACGGACAGGGCTGTCGGAGCCATTTCGGCTGACGTGTGTGTTTTTTCTTCTTTATTTGAAATTGCCTTCTTGTATAGGAGCCCTGATAGTCCTTTGCAGAACATACATTGATTTCATTCGCAGTCACTCAACAAATTAGTGCTTGGTGCTGAGTGACTTTACCTTTCCTAACATGGGTTGGCGCAATCTTCGTTGCGAAGCTATAACCGTGGGCTTAGCCGCAAAACTCGTAGGGTTGATGTTGCAATCCCTTCTACACGATTTTGTGGATCAGTTCACTCGGTTCATGGAAAGACAAGTTCCATCCATCCTCTATCTAGTTACCATGACGTCAGTCGACTTCGTAAACAACGTTGTGTACGATCCACCCCTGTGAGCTAGTGACTACGCGTGCATGTCATTCGAGTGTGCTCTCAATAGAGCTCAAGAAATTTGCGCTACCAGGATTCCTGACATCTGGCGTGCTATCTTCCGTGCAGTTAGAGCCAAAGCTACCCTGTCACCTTATAAGATTTCGGCAGCGGTTTATGTCCAGACGGCGCGGGATAAGTTGGAAGTATTCCTCTCTTAGGTGTCCCTTCCTTACATTCCGTTCTCAGTTGGGAAGAAGTCAAGCGCCGTGCCACCCTGTTTTGGTTTAACCACACGCTAACTGCTGAACAGACGGGCCATATGTTGACAGACTTATCTCTCGACTCAGTCGGATGATACTTTGTTATGTTATTGAGTCCTCCGTAATACATATAAGCAGGATCCAAGGTCAGTTCGACTTCGCTATGAAATGGGATTAGTAAACTCAGTTTCAACCAACCCGAGGCGAACGTTTGCTTATACAGTCCAACCTGTTATGACGACCACCTGTCTATCGCAACTAGCCATAAACATCCGCAACGTTTTCTCCTATGATTAATGTCCCTATACATAAACCTATCCAAGGCGACCACTTATTGTCGGTTCCTTCAGTGGTCGCCTTAGACAGGTTTGACTGTGTCAGAAGACGAAGCTGTGGGCTCCCATCGATTCCGGTGTTGCACGAAGCCGATGGTATTGTCGCGGACACTGATTACGACAATGCCTGTTTGCTTGATGAGCAGTATGTGAGAACGTTTGTTCCCACGTCTCCTTTGCCAGCTTTTGATTTAGAAAAGAGAGTTGCAGCAGACTCGTTTCTGACCGCTATCTCCGTGTCAGAGATCCAGGTACTTTCACTGCTCCGTGGGTTAAATCCTAGCAACCATTCTGTCGTCCATTTCATTCATCCCAATTTGTTATCTGAGTTGGCAAATGAACCTGTAACTCAGTTGTTTGACGTCTTTTGCAACCTGCGTTCTACCTACCGTCTGCTCTTGCACCGTATTTTGCTTTATCTCATCCGGTCTCGTGGACTAGACCATGTCTTGCCTATGCCTTATGCGGTGTGTATTAGACGCCGTTGCTGTCCAATTTTTCGCGTATCTCGTGGTGGTCAGTCGATGAATTGGCATTAAACCGTGGGCATATTGACTTTGAGACTTGCTCAAGCTGGTGCGTGATGGTCCACTTCATTGGATGAAGTAAATTCCATATTTATATGTAACGTCGCTACCTTTCGTTTTTAAGTAGCATCTTTTTACTTTCTTTTTGTGGTCACAATATTTCGACAAATTGCGAATATTGATATTGTTCGGAATCTGAATGAACTGCAAATCTCAGACTTCTTCCGCCTTTATTATATGATGTTTGTGTGCTTACTTAGATGGCTTATTCTAGCATATTTACCCTTCACCGTTTTATTGCGCCAAATATTAAGCAATTATACGGTTGCGGTATTTTCGTGCGGAATTCGTGGGACTGTTTGTTTACCTACTTGCGAGTGTGTTTACCTGTTCTTGTTATATGTTTTCATTTTGCTTTAATATCACCTAATGCAGAACCACGGTTGCGTGAGTACAATTTGTTATGCTCACCGCCCTTACTTCCCACAGCTCAGGTCTTGCGTTTAGTTAGGTGTTGTGGACTCATCGGACATCGCACCGTCAATGGCGTTCCTGCATTCGGTTTCTTGCATGTAGCCATTAATATGCTCCCCAGATTACTTTTTCCACGTTTTTCTTGATCTCATTTTCCCTGTATTTTGCTTTTTTCCCACCTCGTTTTCTCCCCGTTATTGTTTTTTTGTCCCGGCGACGAGAGTCTTGACAACTAGTTCCATTGCACTTTGGTACCCGGCTCATTGTCGTTTAACTGAACTGAACCGTATTCCCCATCGCCTCTCGCTTCCATCCCTTTGGATTCCACCAGGATTCTCTTCTGTCGCGTTTCGACCTGCTTTTCATCGTATTGGACAAGGCGGACCCGGAAGATGATCGATCCATTGCTGAACACGTACTTCGCATTCATCGTTACCGTGGTCCGGGTGAGCAGGACGGTGAAGCTCTTTCGCTGCAAACCATGAATCGACTCCTCTCCACCGGATTGGATCCACTGTCGCTCGCTGCTCAGGAGGATGCGGATACCGACCAAATGGACGTGGACGGTGCCAATCGACGCGAATCCGACCAGGTGTATGAACAGCAGTCGGATCTGTTGCGGCCAGGTCGCAACCGTGGAAAGTGAGTTATTTCTGGTGCCTTATCTCCTCAGCTCCTGTCTGGCGGAGTCCGTTCGTACCGAGATGGTCTCGACTTCCTCACCCGATCGAATCCCTCGTGTGATCGCTATTCAAACTAAGTCAAGTGTGGATGCATTATTGATGTTGCGTCTTTTTGCTTCTAGATTGCCAACATATCTCGGTTTCAGTCACCTACTCGCTAATATCTTTTTTCGCATTCATAATGCTCCTTTACTTTCTGGACGACTCTTTGGCTATTTACCCTGGTGAGTTCTTCATTCGGACTTGGCCACATCGGTGGTTACGGACTCATACCTAAATTGCGCAACCGCGAAGCGAATGATGCTCTCACATTAACCCTGTTGCTTCCACCCGGTCTTTCGGCCCAGTGCTTATGCTTTTACTTCTTTCGTTATTTTTAACTCTTCATGCCTTTCCCCACTAATCTCTATGTTATTACACTCCCATTCATACCACCTGAACTAACTAACGACCTGTGCTAGGTGTCACGGAGGCACCCTTAATCCTGCCCGTTTACTCTTCTTCTCTTCAGGCAAACTGTAGTCCCATCGAATGTCTGCACCATCAAGTCTAATGTATTCCCCTGCATTAAATGTTCTCGCTTGTACATGACCGAACTACTGCGCTTTTGTCGTTCCAGGCAGATCCAACTGGCCTTGCAAAACCGGAGCAGGACATTCTACTTTACTGTTGTTTATTATTATTATTAATTATTATTATTGTTGTTGTTGGATGTGGGTATATGTCACTGCTGATTCGTCGGTGTGTCATCCATATCCCTCAATTCAGGCTGTGGTCTTCAGTCTTCGGTGTGTATTGTGAAAGAGGCCGTTTTTACAATAACACCTGGTCCACAGAGTGATGATGACCTCATTTGTGTGTTTTTCATCCAAGCGAAACTCATCCGTGCAATAGGGGATTAGCTCTCAGAACGAATAGTGCACTGTTAACATATCTTCGTACACAACCGTGCTACATGAACAAGAAGTTTCCGCCGTGGCGAAATTTCGGAAATATATCCATGTTGGACGGTCGGGAAAGAACAGGAAGCCGCCTGTGCAACTTATCTCAAGACCCATCACTCTGTGTGGCTTTTGTATTTCAATTATGAGGCAGCTTTGGACGGATGAGCGTTTAACCACTGGGATCGGCGCTCAACGGTCTGTCAAAGGTTTGATACCAAAAATTAATCGAATTTTTCCTCAACTTCCTGATTAAATGGAGCTGAATGTTCAACCTAGATGTAGTCTATTTCATTCATCTGTTTTATAGCACGTAGGAGCATAGGTTGTGTAGAACATGTTACTGGCGGTGCATATTCGACAGCTATGGGGGGCCAGATCCCGTTTACCGGGATCGAGTTGACAGCTTTGTCCCAATTTATCCGAGCCGTCGGAGTTCTTGGCCAACCTAGCTTTGCTATAGCGAGGTTGGTGATCGCATCCCTTCAACTGGACTATCGACCTTTAACCACCATGTCACTTTATCAGTGCTACTGCCTTTGGCTGTTTTGTGTGTGTGGCCTAATCATTTCACAGATGTGTAAAGTCCTGGTGAACTACGTTAAACGATTGAATTCAGTTTCTTCTTTACCATTTGGAACAGTTGAAGGAGGAATCTTGCATATACGTGCTCCATAGACAAAATTAACAATAGCGCTTTGTGCCTTGAGTTTGGCAGTTTAAGTAGCGGTGAGCTTTTCTACAAAAGTACCATTTGTCACGGCTACATCTGAAACATTTTTCACCATTATTCCTTCATTTTCCGATACTCTTCATGAATTTGTTTGCGAATCACTTGACACGCGCCTCCAAATTTGTGTTACCTGTTTCACATGGAACATGACTGTACCGGTTATCATCAGAGTGTTAACTTTCCCTGGGTTCCAGCTCCGACTCATGATGTGCGCGACATCGAAAATTAAACGTTTTCCTGGAGGCATATTACTGTCCCAGCTACTATAACATCTGATATCGGGGCTGATTGCCGCCAACCTAGGCGGTTAAGACGGTCACGTCATTAAGAATACCACCTTGAACTTTGAACTGGACGACTAGTACCACGCAACCATTACCTGTCGCACGTAAATATGCGTCTGCTACAACCTCCGATAGTAGGATACTTCCGACGTCGACCGCTTTTTCGCTGGACCACCACTCAGACATGGCACTTCGTAGGAATCAGTGGAGCTCCCATTATTGGTTCCCTTGTTTATAAATCTTAGTCGATCTAGCTGAAGATTGTAGCGTCTCCTATACTGTCCCGCAAATGACTTTTTCCCTTCATTTCCCCCACCGTTATTAATTTTTGTCATTATACTAACTCGATCGGTAAAACCGAATCCACCTCACTTCGGTGTTGCATCCGTAAACTTATTAACCGACTTGCGGCTGCGTATATGCTGCTGTTATGATGGCTAACTTATCACAGCTGCAATCGTTCGTATTTTAGGTTAGTTCCCATCAGGTATAACAAGGTTTTTTTTTCATCCTCTCCTCTACCACTTTCTCCAGCGACCAACTGACCATCAAATTTTTACAAAAGTACATCCACGTGGCTCGGCAACTGAAACCCCAGTTGACCAAGGAGGCTGGCTCGATTTTGGCCGAAAAGTATTGTGATTTGAGGGCTCAAGAAGCCACTGAGGGTTTTGGGCGCCCCGGTCGAGGGGACCAGTCACGCATTCGTCGGACACAGCCGATCACTGCGCGTAGCTTGGAAACCCTGATTCGCTTAGCAACTGCGCATGCCAAAGCACGGATGTCGAAGACCGTGTCAAAGAAAGATGCTGAGGCTGCTGTACAGCTTCTATCCTTTGTCTTATTTAAGGTCAGTTTTCTCCACTTTTTCTGCGTCCCAAAAACGGTTCCCTGCCTTCATCTGCACATGTTGATGTGGTTGTCACCCTCTACCACTTGGACAACCTGGGGATGGCTCTAAAGACGTATGGCACTTATTCAAGTGGGTGTATTTGACTTGCCATCTGTTGTACAATGGCCTCAGGGTCGAAGGCGTAGTTCCCTGAGATCATTTGTCGATAAACTTCAAGTGGAGATTATGGGAATCAGCTTGGCAACAAAGTAACTCCTGACTTGGTTTTCACGGGCTGTCCGTATTTGCTACTCCAGTGCTTGCTTAAATTGGGGATGGTTGATCTAGGTGATTCAACCAATAGTCTGACAGTAAAATATGCCTTGTGATGTGATGCTGTCAAGTGGCCTATCTAGATGTTGGAACCAGGAAGACTGCTTCACGTACATGTAGTGAGATCCACAGTATGCTGGGATCAATATGCACTTAACAGTCAGAGGTGCTATATCCATTTCCGCTGCATTCTAATTGTTTCTCTACTGGGCTTTTCTTGTGTGCCTGTTGAGCTGTTCCTTCCAGACAGTTTGTGTCCACATCGGCTTGATCCAGAGGACAGTTTGATGATCAGTTCGCTTCGCAGGTCGTTAAGAACCGCAAGGCGGAAAATTGTTTCTTGCTCCTTATGAGCGGTGACCCGACTCACTCCGTGGTGGACCTCGGTCAGGAGTGATTGTTACGCTTGTTTGACACACAGAAGTCCACAAGCAGGTAGCCATCCTGGTTAGTTATCCACCATTTGTTGAGTACTTGATGTTTGGGACTAGTAGTCCAAGTCCTTGGTATCACTCGAAAGAGCTTTGACACGCATAACCGAAGCCCAAGTGACATTCTCTGTGGAATCCAAGGAGCAATATCATACGTTACCAGTACTATCATCGCCTACTTGCTGGCCATAAATGCTGCGAATCTGAATTACTCAAACCGCCTCTACAAATCAGGCGCCCCTTTGTCAACGATCGGATCTTGAATAGATGTGCTGGGACACGTTACTAATAAATGCCAGGTAGCCTCGCAGGTCCCATCACGGTAATTAAACACGCCGACCGTGGGCGCTATTCAGGTGCCACATTATGTCATTTCTCATAGTTGCTCCGGCTGGCGCGCCCAACCCATGCCTCAAGGTCTGCACATATCCGTGCTTCTTATTGTTGGGTGACTCATCGAATGCTGATGAATAGGTTTCCAGGCCCTCTTGGGAGCAGCGGTTGCTTCATGTATCTACTGCTTGTTTTCAACCCTATGCGTTACAATTTCACATGATTTTTGTGGAGCAAGACCACGACAATGTTCTTGTGTGGCGGTCCAGTGATACCTTTGTTTTGCGTACTTTCATGCTACTCACAAGTAGCATAAAACGAATAACCATTATTCCTGGCCAACTTACCGGGTGCCACCGTCCACAGATCAGTCCATTGTTTCCCCTCATTCGGTTCTTTGCAGCGTACTTCACCAGACGGCATCAGCAGTCATGTTTGTTTAGTAGCACCACGTGAAATAGTAGTGCTTTGGCTCATTTTGATGGTCGGTTCATTGAATTACGCATCTACGCTTCAGCTCACTGTCCTGATCCAGTGCTTAATCGTCTCTATTTCCATCAGGAAGTGCTTGAGAAGCCCCGGAAACGGGACCATACCGCCGCTGATGGTCATAGCGATTCGGAAGACGAGGGTCACAGAGTTGAACCGGAAGGCGTGCAGCGTCCCGCCAAACGCAAGTTCGTTCCTTCTCCCCATAAATGTCATTGAGTCCTCTTTATCCTGATTGACAGATACACGGCTTCCTATGCTAATTTAGGTTAATGTCCGCGAGGGATGATGCTTTAAATGCGATCCGACCGAGTTCGGCTGGCTTACGGGGTTCTCCTCACGCAACTTGCCGTTCCGCATCACTCAACAACACTTCGGCTTTACTGACCGCTGTCTTCGTCTTCGCTTCGTATGCGGCATCCGTGGTTGTTCTTTACGATTTTGAATACGCCATTAATTAATTCTGAACGTATGCACTTATACGCTATGCTGCAACCCCCATTCCTATATGCGTACTCGCACGCTCTCCTTACCTTCGTCACAGTGTGTAATTTTTCAAGAGGCTTCATTTTCTCACGTTTCGTCAACCGCATTCACCTCCACCATGTCAATCATGTTGAATGTGTTGACCTGACTGCTCGCTTGTACCACTGGCTCATTCCTTATATCCGCGTAGTGCATAGTGCGTATTTTCGCACGCTTCTGTGTTTCCACATCTGGTCCACTGCTTCATTGATCTTCTCGTGTGTGCTATGCGGGGTATTTTTCTAGTGTCACGGTTCACGTTGACTCACTCAACGATTGGTATAACACTTCACATCCACATGTGTTTCGCCACCCTTCCGCACTTCATCTCGCTCCGTTCTACTTCGGATTACATACTTTACTTCAGACTCTATCGATCTAATGCTCGGTCGTTCATCTTGCTCGGACATTACTTTTCTTTCGCTCAACACACAGTGTACTAGTCTCATATGCTCAACAGTTGTTTATCCGTCCTTCCCGGTAACCTCTGATTTTCCACATTTCTTTACCACAGGGCCACTGAAACCAGCGTAGCGGACCCGAGTGATCCGTACGCTTTCTCCGAGGAATCTGAGAGAGGCACAACCCAGCCCAGCGTCACTCAGGCGACACCCGGCACTTCTCTGTCGGCCGATCGATTGCGCCAGTTGTCCACGCTTGTTAGTCGCTTATTCCAGGAGCGCCGAGTCGAGCAACTTCCACTTCAAGAGGTAGGCTTTCAACCTTCCAGGTTTCTGTTTTACGGGAGGGTGGATACAGTCACATGATTGACTTTCGTTTCTTTTCATCTGACTATTTTCTTGTGTTGCTTTTATTATTGAAATGATTGCCGGTTTGTCGAATTTGTAAAAATGACACTATTTAACGCCAGGTGATTTTAAATTTGTCATGCACGGCGATTTCTAATGAATTTCATTCCTCTGACTTCATTGGTCATTGTATACTCGGCAAGGTTTATGAGTGAATAGGCTGAACTGAGCTCCAACTCAGTGATGAACTACGTTTCATTTTCTTTCGGTCCGCTTGGTGCCACTGCATTCCATCTGTGTTCGTTCATGTCGTAGGCCTTCACACTGCATCGGTGTTCAATCCTTACTCTTTAGGATGTTTGCCTCCCACACCCAACCTCTATCTCTTTGACATATACATCCGGATTCGGGTTCTTATTGTCTGGGGAGCTAAGACCCTGAAAGCATAGATAATCAAGTCGCCGTGTTTTTATCCCACTTGTTCCCGGGAAACACGGTACTTTCCACATGACTGCTCTTGATACATTATGCATCGTCTCTGGGTCCGGTGTTCGTGCTCCACTCTTTCACATCTTTCTTCTTTTCTGTTACAGGTGACCTCCGTTATCCTCAGTCAAACGGATGGTTTCACTCGAGCTGACGTACACACTGCTTTAGAGGCTATGCATGCAGATAATCGCATAATGCTGACCACGGATGATGTGTGGCTCATTTGAAAGGATGCCATGTGTATATCCTGGATGCTCGTGAACAAGCGGTTTATTTTTCTATTTGTGGTATACCGTGCACCATCCATCTTCACGATTTTGAGATTTATATGTATTTTATCATTGTTGTTGGTATAATCCCGTCGGTTTTTGAATAGATCCACTTTTGCTGTATATCTCTGTGTGTTTTATTCCTTTCGAGGTGGATTTACCAATATCAGTTGCGCGTTTTGTGTGTACTGGAGTTGTAACCGGCTTTTTGGAAGTTGACTTTCGCATGCAAACGATTTTATCTATGACCTGCTGTTACATTGTGCCCTTGCCGATTACGATACGTAAATGGAGATGTGGAGAGCCCAATTTCTATGTCTCGCGTTCCTCCGATGATGGAACTTAGTGACAGCTAGCCAAAATATTTTATTAGGTATGCTGAGGACAAGCAGTAAGGATGTATACTTAGAGTACTGGATGCATGGGACTGTTTACAGAGTCTACGAGATCCTTCAGGCTACTATGCAACATCGTCTTTGTTTTTGTTTCGTTTCCGAGGTCTTTCTGCACGCGATCCAAGCAGCCAACTTGCGTCTGCTTGACTCGTCCTTTTTCCACCTCGTTACCTTGAGTCTGACTCCACCTAAAAGCATATTTCACACACATTAAAGCAGTAGGCGATCACCAGGCATTCTGAGCACACGAATAGACAGTTTATTCGGTTCAGTCTTACCGGAGAGTTTGCTGCCAAACACCGACTTGCTAGTCTTGGGGCTAACTAGTCCGTACCTCGTAAACAACCAATCTTTTAATGCCCTTGGTGCTTATTTGTCGTGCCCTGATCTGCACTGCGTCTCGTTATGTGCTTTGCCTTCAGCGAACAAACTGATGTCTCTCGGTCGGGGTCGGAAAACCAAAATAGATACCGACCTTCCCGGTGATTAGGTCGCAGATACTACGTCTACCTGGGTAGGTGAACCGATTACCCTTTCAAGTAACTCTTTGACAACACGGAAGATTGCTCATAAGTCAACTCGATCCTGTGGCAGTAATTTGCACTCCGATAGTTTGTGCGATATGCCGATAGCAGACGGTTGCTGGTTCTAATCAATCAAGCGCACTTTTCCAGATTGTCTTCCGTTAGAACCTCCAGTCTACATCTAATATACAAATTCAAGCACATCTGTGGGAATTTCTGTCACAAAGTTGGAGAGATGATGGCAGAATGAAGCATTCTCACTCACCCACTTCGTCCATATGATCTCGACAGAGCGTTCTCTTGAATTCACACTGCTTCGGAAGTTCAATTATCGTAGTAAGGTTTTTTCCGATTCATCTTTCAGCTATAGGCAGTATTATAAACGCGACTGATCACTCCTATCACGAACCTATTTTCAGTCTGGACACTTAAGACAAACGGGTGCTGATGCTCAGGCGGCTGCTATTGCAAGTGTCCATTTGCCACGCAGGTCTCTGTGAGCCAACTGGATGCCGAGATAAAATCTATGGCCGTGAATCGAGTATCTTGGCAATTTTCTTCCTCTGTGTCTTTTTACGGGTGATGGTGATCACCAGCCTAATAATTTTATCCTAGCTCAACCACCTGCGATTTCCAACCTTTGTACGATGATGAGAGGTGTTCAGGGCCTGGGTGTTTGCTGGGGTTCGTGAAGTTAATGCCTAGGTTATGGTACTGTTGCCTGATGAAGAATTGCAATCCGTTTGATGGATCTAATCCGCTTCCTGGATGATGGGGTCTTTTGCGACTAGACTGCCACTGAAGCTTCTCTTAGCCTTGTGCTGTCAGCATCGCTGGACAACACGTCTGTTCCTAACCCTCTCTGAATGACATTTTTAGTGCTTACAGGCAATCTACTAATGCCTGCTGTGTAGAGTCATGTTCGGTTCCCCAAAGAGTCTGCTTCTTCCATTGTTCAAATTGTGCTAACTAAACATGCGGGTGATTTCAACTATCTCCCATGATGCACAGAAGCTGATGTCAACCGCCATTCGCCACACTTTGGTGATTGTCAGTCTGTGTTCCAACTCAACTTGTGAATTCATCTGACGCATCAGTAATCCTGTTGAGTACCTGACAGGTAAGTGTAATTCCTACGGGCGTTGAGTTATGATAGAAACCTTGACTTTGAATTCCTGTAGAAGATCAGTGCTCTTGAGCTATTGTGCTCCGTCTACACTGGACGGCAGTGTGATAGACATCGGCACACGATGTGCTTTCGCTCGGTCAGACGCGTGATTTGATGAAGCATTTGATATAAGGTTACTGTGCTTGGGTGAGGAAGCATACGATCCGTCCACATTGGAAGGAATGGGTTACGTTTCCGACATTGCTGAGCGACGCGTTTCGTTCACCCAGTTCCTTCCCTTCAACCTCTGAACCGCCACCAGTGAACGTACATACTGAAACACTAGAAGGAAGTCTTGCTTCCGAATGCTGTCTGTCACACTTGATTAAGTTGTTTGTTATCAGAACGAATTCTGCTCGGCTAGATTGTTTGCGCTAGTGTACATGACTTCTAACTCAGGCAATGAACACTTCATTATCGGATATGTGGTGAATGCTTCAGGGCTACGCTTTCGCGTATTTCGAGGACACTACACACCAACTCCAGGTGACTGAAGGATCGACGCGATTTGATAGGATTTGTTGCTGAAAGTCCGGACGTGAAGTGAAACTTGAAGATCTCAAGACTACTTGTTCTGACTATTAATTCTTTTGACTAACTCAGCGTGGTTCATTTCCTCCTTATTTGAGAGGAGACAGTCCTCAATGAGTGCTAGGCACAAGAATAAAAACAACAAACACCGGTGAGCGAGTGACTATTATCTTTTCTTATTTCCAAAACACTACCTCATTGGAATTTTCCTTCTTCTACGTGTCGACCTCCAAGTCATCGGATGGCGGACTCAGTCTATCAACTTGCTTGTCTTTTCACGGCACCAGTTGCGCGCTATGTTGGTCTATTCTTGGACTCTATTCGATAACACTGTGCAACAACAAAAAATTTATTTTTTATACCAGGAATCCCAATGTCCTTACCTTAAATTACAATCCACTGATCGTAGAAATGTATTCCGAGGTTATCTAGCCCGTCAGGTTACATTGTTATTAGGAAATGTTTGTTTTCAATAATGTCAAGCCTACGTCGTACGAATTATATGTAAATGTACTGAATCACAACGTACACAGAATGCGTCTATGTGGCAAATACGTTTAAAACATCACCGCAACACTCGCCGCTAGCCACTTACTGCAGCTTAGCACTGGGAAATGATGACTTCGCCGAGATCGTCCCTTATATGATCCAGCGCCCTCACGCTGCAGAAGCCACCCATCATAGAAGGCGTGTACTTGTCCCTGTAGCGCTGCTTCATGACTGAAATGTCTTGGTGAAGACGCTCACGATGTTCATCGCTAACAGATCCCCAGTTCTGAGGGAAAACGTTAGGCTGATTATGCAAAAAGTACACCTTGAGTGACCTTCGAGCACCAACAGCTCGATTGTCCGCAACGAGCTATTTTGTGTTGTCTTTCTAGTTCTCTGCCTTTTTTCTGCCCAAAAATCCTGTACACACTGCCTTGAATCATCGCCACGCTTCAAACTCTAATGAAGTCAACTGGCATTCGAAAACACTGCCATAATCCGGCGAATAGCAGGTCCATAAGGATCCCATCTTTGTGCTTCCGCATTACTGATCTTCGGAAACACTTGGTTCAGGTACTGGAAGGCAATACTATCTCGCTTGAGCGCTTTGACGAAGTGTTTAACCAAACCAAGTTTAATGTGCAACGGTGGTAGATATGATCAGGTTTCACAAATGGTGCATGCTTTACACTTATTTTCCCTGTAGCATACACCGTCCTCTCTGGCCACTTTTCGTTTGTGTAGTGCCGTTGAGTTGCTCTACTGTCCCATACAAACAAGAAACAGCAATATTTTGTGGAGCATCCTTGCATACCCATTAGAAGTCCAATGACTTTAAAGTCAGCACAGATGTTCCAACAGTACTTATTGTGGTTCAGTGCAGCGATTATCAGTTGCATACTTTTGTAAGTCTCCTCCATATTGATAACATACAACGGAGGCACAGTTGGGTACACATTTCCATTGTGGAGCAGTACGGTCTTAAGTCTACTCTTGGACGAGTCAGTGAACAAACGCCATTCATCACTGATATGTCTTACGCCAAGCTCCTTTATCAGTCCTTCCACGTCGGAACAGCAACAAAAGGTTTCTCTCGTTTCATAGAAACCATACGATTTAACACTTCGCTTTCTGTATACAGTAACCTTAGTGTTTGTAGCAACTAAGTGCCACTGCTGCAGCCGAGATGCCAGCAACTCGACCTTGTCTTTAGGCAAGCCCAGCTCACGTACCAAGTAATTCAGCTCTGATTGCTCAATAGGATGTGGGTTGGAAACATCAGCTTCACAGATTTCATAGATTTCAGAATCAGGGGAAGTTGACGATGCGGTATCACCACTCATTATCAGTGGCATGTTCATTGGAGGCACTGGCATGGATAAGGTGCAGTCATAAGGAACATGACGAAAACTGATGGAAGATCGGGGTAATGAATTTTGTCCTTGCCTCGGTTGGCGATTCCAATAACACTGGTTAGGCAGAAGTAGCAGTCTGTCGTGTGATCTTTCGGCTCCCTCCGCATCATGTGGATTGCAAAGGGCATTTGCCTTTGCCCTTGAGCCACTGAGTGAGATGAAGATTTCACGACACACGAACACTCTGTGGTGCCCACTTGTTATCCTGATCTCCCAGTTTCATCCCGAAATATGTGTGGTAGACAGATTTCAGTGATGAAGAAATGGTTCTGCACAGACGTAACAAAGATGATTGCGATCATTGGAACCGCATCGTCTTTGAGGCATAATCAAGATATCTATTATCTATCTATTAAGGAAACACAACTCTCAATCGACTTTCGATATCAGGTGGATACCATTGTCAAGAGGACTACTTTTCCACAATTACGGAGAGCCAATGGACAAATTACAGACGAGCATTCTATGTATGGAACGCACTGCTTAGCTGAAATGAAAAATTGTAATCAAAAATATTCCCGACGTGATAGAACCATATAAAAGATCACTCGGCTTAGCACGACACAAAAAAGATCACACTCATGCACACTCCACATGAACCGT